ACGCACTACGGGTACTTGTGATCTTGGAAAGTAGTTCAAACATCACGCGATCGATTAACGCGTTCAAGAGGCCGAACGAGTCGACTGGGTCTGCGACGATAGATGGTGACAAAGCGAAACTGTGCAAAGCTTGCGGCCAAGATGATCATTGCAACAGAAGCAGCTCCAACTGTCTCCAACACATTCCGCGTATGAGGCAACTTGCTACAAGTAAGTACCAATGACGACAAAATTAACGTAAACAGCAACAAAGTGCGGTTTTTGTCAGTTGTGCACGAGCGAACGCGTATTTCGGACCATCCTCGAGGACGTAGTGCCAACGTCTCGCTCAGCAATTGAGTTTTCGTTTTTCTTCGAGTTTGCGTTCAAAGATGACAATTAGGTATTAATTTAACAATATAATAATTATATTGCCCGAGTACTTTTCGAAGCTCCAAAAAAAGCTGAGTTTAAGACCGTATCTTCTCTTGTTCTTGGGCAAAAGAAGTAAAAATTCACCGAAAGGTATTATAGATTTTTTCGGAACATACAAATCTCTGAGAGGTGCAAACAAAGAACTGTACAGCAACGAATATAGATCAGGACCCACGGATCAGTTGGCTGATTAATGCCGCACAAACCTCGCGAACAACGTCAAGGTGCATATGGAGGCTCACGTGGAGAACTTCCTGAGGCTATGCGGAGATGCCGAGTGCAGCATAGAGAAAGCCAAAGTAGAGGTGAGACTGGATAAGTTGTTCGACAACAACGTTTGCCTGTGCCCAGAGCTGAAAGGATTGATCGAAAACCAACAGCTTGATTTCCGTACTCTACGGGAAAAAGATGAAAAAACGGAGGAGAATAATGCTACCAAGGACAAACCAAAGTGGTGGAAGTTTTTGGATTTTTTGCGAAGTCTTTGCAATGATCGAAAAAACATCTGTAGAAACGTTTAGACTGATTCCGATTAATGGATACAGCTTGAAACACGTCTTTTACGGTACAAAAGACGTTTATTGTTTGAATAGAAAGTTGTATCCCAATGATACTCCATCAGAGTTTTCCAAGGCCAAAGATACGGTCGAAAAAGGACGAGTATTGTGAGATAGAATATTCGACTGGGGTCGAGTATTGAGAGGAATTAAACAATAGAAATAGAATCGCAGGATAGCTGTCAACGAATTCGTTATGCTGCTATCTTACAATCAGTATTAGCAATTGGAAATTTTCATAAGAGGTTTGAGCTGAGATTCTTTTTAAGATAGCTCATGGAGACTGTCTTTATACTTTTTAAACTGTGGTTAATCATAATTATTTATTTGTAATATAACATAATCAGACGGTTAAAGAACTAGATTTACTCATACATACAGGTGAAATATAACAGTTTCTGTTATTCAAAGCTGTGTAATGATTGTATAAAATCAAATAACTTAAACTGTCTAATAAATTAAAAAAAAAAATAATAATAATAATAAAATTTTAATGAAATTGAGTTTATTTATAGTTTTTAAAGAACATGAATTTATTTTACATTTTTTAAAGAACGATTACTTCATTTATTTGATTGGGGCGAAGCTCCTTGTATCTCCATGGGG